ATATATATATAATAAGCATGATGAGATTTTGAGTTTTAAAATATGACCATTAAACTAATATTTTAGATGTAAAATATTATATTATTACTTTCTTATCCTTTAGTATATTATCTTTTTTTATTATATTATAAAATTAGTTTATGATATTATTAATATATATTTACCTTTTGATATAATATTTAATTATTTTATTAAAAAAATATTAAACATGTATTCTGATCAATTGACTAACCTATTTAACCAATAATCCAATGACTTAAGCCTTGACCAGATTGATGTCATTAAGGATTATCCAGTCTGATTTAGGTAATTAATATAGATCATTAAGAATTTGTTTCAGTACCAAAACCCCCTTAATTATTTTCTATATTATTGAAAAAAACTCTCTTAATTTTGCATATTTTTATCCCATCCCCAGTCAAGATCTTTAAGGCAGACTCCTGGCCCCACAGATTCCACTGGTTTGACTATTGACCCCGATCAGGTAAAGTTGTGGGTTGCGAAGCGAAGCTTCTCACCACTACTGCTAAGTGGAGTAAGAGTGGCAGAATGGGCAGAGACCACGTAGAGTCCAAGCTACTGCTGCAGTTGCTGCACATCCTGTTCTTGGGGTGTCCATGTCTTCGAGTTGTCTGTAATCATCTCACATCCTTCTTCTCGAATTGAATAATGCTGATCAGTGCTCAGGAATTGACAAACAGAAATGATTTAACTTAATTTTTTATTAATAGTATATATCAATTTATATACAGATTATAAAATATAATATTTTTTTATTAATAATAAATATAAAAATTCAGGAGATCACGTTGAGATCATGATCCTCATTATTGATGAAATAATATTAATATATTATCATAATTTTTATAATATATTATTAAGATATTAAGATGATCATGAGATCATGTTGAGATCATGATCCTCTACCTTCTATGGAAGGCAGAAAGCAGAGGTAAGAGATAGAAGGATCTTAGCAGAAAGCAGAGCATTGAGCAGAGAATAATCACATTAGATATTGTGGTGTGTATCTTGTAATATTAGGAAAGATATTATTTAGAAAAATAAATTATCATGATCATCTTAATATCTTAATAATATATTATTATTATTTCATCAATAATGAGGATCATGATCTCAACGTGATCTCCTGAATTTTTATATTTATTATTAATAAAAAATATTATTTACCTTAGCAGAAGGTAAGAGATAGAAGGATCTTAGCAGAAGGTAAAAAATATTATATTTATTATTAATAAAAAAATATCTGCCTTCCATAGAAGGTAAGAGATAGAAGGATCTTAGCAGAAAGCAGAGCATTGAGAAGAGAAAAATTATGGAAGGCGTTGGTCCGGAGCAAAATGCTCGAGCCTTGCACAGCCATGGAGATTTGACTTGTTGCAGAGTAAAAGCTTCAGAATGGGCACACTAAAGGAGCATCAATGGCATAATGAGCAGCGCTCTGGTCAAACATATATTAGAGGATCTTCCACCACCCTAATCATAGGCCATGGCATTCCATAATTCAATTTCCTTTCGGCTACCACTAAGCTTTGTAGGGTGGTGCACTTTTCACCGGTGCTCCATCATCATACACAGACACACTGTTTGAATCATTAGAACTTGCACAGTGTGATCCTAATCTACGTGATATATATTCACAGAGATCGGTGAGCTCGACATCGAATGATATGGAATCTGAGATCGGTTCACGCCTGTGGAAGCTTTTGGGCCAATGATCACCAGCATGGGAACGACAATGATAGGTCGACGGGTCCATCTCCCTTTGGCTGCTTTCCTTCACCTTATTTTGACGGTCGGGCGCTCCCTCTCACAGCCCCAGGAGTATGTAGTAAAGCAAGGTTACGGGCAAAGAGACAAGCATGCCAAAGATGACCCTACAAGCGTACGAGCTCAGTAAATGAAGAGTTGAGAAGAAGAAGAAGAAGAAGAAGAAGAAGAAGAAGAAGACAGCAACAAGGAACAGAAAAGAGAAGTGTTTGGTCCAGAATCGCTATCTCCTGATGGTTTATGATCATCATGAATGCAAGTAAAACATACCCAGTGCTTAATATATCAGGATGCAATCCGTATTCTCTGGCAAAAACAAATGGTACGATCCCTTGAGGAAGAGCTGCCTGAGAGATTAGAAGAACGTTAATCAATCACCCATGCAAAGGCATATAACAGTGCGATGGTTTCTACCTGCACGATGGCTGTGTGAAGCCGTACACCTCTTAACCCCACTACCATGGATGCAACAGACATCACCATGGGGCCGCTTAGGAATCGGATCGCCATGCTTATGGCCGCCATCTTTGGCCCGCAGGCAATGATCCTTGGCTGCAGAGCCATGAACAGCCCTGCAGGAAGCAAGCAAGACACAGTTGAGGCACTTGTACTTTGCTACCTCAGAAGGAGAATGCCATGCTTACCGAGGCTGAACATGGCCATTCCAAGCCCTGCATCTGAGATTATTTTGATGGACTCCTTCACCAGCGTCGGCATGTCGACGCCCCACCTGAAGAGATCAACACGCTCATCGGTAGCCAAAAGAAGGTATTCATGAGCCATATGAATGCAGAGGGCATACTTGAACGAGATGAGGGACCAAAGGAGGCCTAATATGCTGGAGTACGTGTTTGGGTTGCGCGACAGCTTCCGGCCGAGGACGGTCAGGATGAGCCTGAGCATGACAAACGCTGCCGGCATCTCTTGATCTCCTTCCACCTCCAACTCCTCTTCTTCATCTTCTTTGTCGACCACGAACTTTGAAGTGCTCCGGAAGCTCAGATCTTTCTCCCCTGCTTCAAGGTCAGCTGGCTTTCATTAACATCCCAAACAAGTTATTATGATTCCACCCTAATTTGAAGCTAAACACAGACTCCATGTGCTGATTACTTCCTTCCAATCTTGTGTCTGTGATGTGAAGAACAGGAACCGTTGCAGTGGTGACGCAGGTTTCTTTTACAGCCTCAAGTCCCATTCCTAGCAGAATAAAGGGACTGTGGCTTCGAGATTCACGTAGATGGTGAAGTTTGATGCGAGCAAACTAAGAACATGATAAGATGAGATCACAAAACTAGATAAGACATACTCTGAGAAAGAAAACATCCCTACAACCTAGGACAGTGACAGCAGAGGAGCTGGCTGCCATCGGACATCATGAGCATCTCACCATTGACATGGATCACATGTGAGCATCGACACATTGTTGAAGAATCTTGACTGCCGTTTAGTTTCGTGCAGGTGATTTTAATTCGTATGTAATTACAGCAGTGTCAGACTTGGTGAAGACTACTTTGGCTTCTACGTGATCCAATAGCCAGCAAAGTCCAAAGAGGAGACCTGACAGCAGTGGATGGCTCATGTGTACTTACCCCCAACATCCTTGTCGCCTTGTCCGCCACAGCCCTCCCACGCCAGCTTCAGCGCCCCGGGTGTCGCCGGCGATTGCTGCCTGATCAACATTCCCGCGGGCGCGGCCGGCGACCGCACCCACACCGGCGTGCCGATCTCCATCTCGTTGAAGTTGGAGGCCCGCGGCGTGGGCTGCAGCGAGTACGAGTCGGAGGAAGCGTACCCCGACAAGTGCGGGCTGGCGGACCGGCACCCCAACGTGATGTCGCGCACCGTGAGCCGATCCGCCGACGCCGGCTGCCTGACCGGCGTGTTGACCGAGTATATCTCGGCCCCGGATATGTTCGACAGGCGGCGCGGCGTGATGCCGATCGACGACGAGAGCCCCGAGTCCAGCACGGAGGATATGGACCGCCGGATGCGGACTCGGATGCGGCCGTCCGCGTCGACCTCCGACTCGGCCCGGATCGGGTCTCGCCCGTCGAGGGAGATGATGTCGCCGTCTACCTCGAACTTGGCAATGGCGGCCGCCGCCGTACCCGGGAATTGGTCTTCGATTAGCATCGTGGCTGCGCGGTACTCGAAGAGGAAGAGCAGCAGCGTGTACCTACGTACATTGCAAAGAGATCAGTCTCTTCGGCGCTCGAGATGCGTCCGCAAACATGTGAGTAGCCATCGGCAGGATACCAGATGATACACTGCAGCACCACCAGCTGCACCATGAGGCTCTGGGTGAAGTCGCCGTACATGGCGCGGAGGAGGGGGATGCCCATCACGAGAGTGTTGGGGAGCGTCCCGACGGAGAAGAGGGTGATGACCCAGTCGAGCCGGCGGCCGCGGCGTCGGGGGCCGGCGCAGGCGGCGGACAGGGAGGCCCACAGGGAGAGGATGACGAGGACGAGGAGCTTGGAGAGGGTGTCGGCAAGGATGAAGCGGGAGTCCATCTGGTAAGGGTTGTTGTGGGAGATGAAGTGAAAGGAGAGGACGGGGACGGCGAAGGTGGCGACGAAGCGGTTGATGCCGGAGCACTGCTCCGGGGTGAAGATCTTCCACCACTTGACGGAGCCGTAGGCGACGAACATGGCGAAGTAGAGAGGGACCATGGCGCACATCACGGTGTAGAAGTCCTCCCAGGTGATCATCTCGCCTGGCCTATCAACGAAGGAAACTGTGAGATCCAAAGAAGAACGGAAGCAGCAGCGGAGTGGGGGAGACGAGCGTGCGTTATGCCTATATGTACACTTAAAGTCTTCAATGAAATATGATGATTTAATTACTGATAGAGAACTTCTACGCAAGGATATAAAGAGGACACGTCTCGCAGGATCTGGACCGCGAATTAAGCGGTTGCACGAATCTCCAAGCGCGTGGGTATCTTGATGCAGCCCCACCTGCTCAGGAGTGTACTACACCGCTGTACAACGAGATTCCAAGTTGAAGTAATTCATTAAAAAAAGCTAAAAAATATATTTTTCTTTTGTTTTTGCTTTTTGAAATCATAATAAAGGCACCGTTAGTGAGATTAAAAAATGAAAAATAATGAAATAAAGAGTAGATTAATGCATGAATGATGATCTTTCAAGTGGACAGCCACTTTGCGTTGAAGCTGAAAAGGAGCGGAGGGAGAAGACAAAACAATTTACGTGAAAGCTGAGGAGGGATCAGACGGGTGACAGTGTTGCATGAGACAACGGTACACAGAAGATGACATCACACGCTGCACCGATGGGTCGTCTAAGAATGTCCGGTAGCAACCCGGTACGAGGACTGCGGCGGTGTTGGAGGGCGGCGGAGGCGTCGGATGGCGATCGGACGGCGGGGTCCGGGAAGCGTGCAGAAGCGGACGAAGTAGCAGGGGCGGTGTCGGGGGTGTGGGTGGCGGGGCTGCGGCCTCCTGAAAAGCCGACGCCATTTATTCCCAGCTTTGGTCGTGTCTCTTTTGGGCCGTCGTCACCCCCAAGGCAGTCAAACTCGGGAGGGGCGCTGCGTGAAGTAGCTGTCCTTCCCCTTCTCCTCTCACTTTCTCTTTTGTTTTCTTCTCTTCTATTCCCCTCCAATTTTCCTTTTTATTAAAAAATAATATTTTATTTATTTATTCAAATTAAATTAATTTTTATTTATTATTTAAGAAATAAATTTAGAATACAAATTTATCAGCTAAATTTTAAAGTAAAAAAATAATCTTATATTAATATTCATTTAAAATATATTTTAAAATGATTATAGTAGAGCATTAGGAATATCTTATGTTTTTTAAACTCAAACTAGTTATTACTAAATACAACTCAATAATGAATAGTCTAAATTTTTAATGATATATGCTAATATGAAGAACCGAATAATGATGATGGCTATCTTAGCTTGTAAGCACATTCATATTGATAGGTAATATTTTATTTCAGAACTTGACAGGCATATATATTAAGACCTCTTGTTCTTTTCTCTACTAGCATCCAACTTTGCCTTTGCACTGTACACTTTTGGGAAGTCATTATTGCGTACAATTTAGAGTACTGTTTTTTTCGATATTGCTTGCTTGAGTGATCGATCATAAAAACTCAACTTATTGCACTGTTGTTGTCTGATTCCACTCAGCTTTAAGAGGGAGAGAGAGAGAGAGAGAGAGAGAGAGAGAGGTCTCATTCAAGGGTGTACGTATATTAGCTAATGAGAAAGGCGTTGACTACATAGTCTTGTGTTATTTATTTATATATTTTTTTTTCTTTTGGGTGTGTGATTGTCTATCTTCGTCTCTTTAATCTTTTCGCCATCCTGATTCTGACAATTAAGTCAAATAAATCCTATGAGAAATCTATTATTCTAATAGGCAACTAAGATAATGTGGATGTTAGAAATGAGGGAGAGTTGTTGAGAGAAAATGATTGAGGAAAAAGATAAAAATCTAATTTTGTTTGGGTTCAAATGTTCCATCATACATTTACAATGCTATCATCTCATTTATTGATAGAAGATACAGTATAAGATTGTATTTATGAAAGATAAAAGTTGAGGATTCTCTCAATTTTTTATATGATATATCTTCTCTTTATAAGACATGTTGACAACCTTCTATACATGCCAAGTTATGAGGAATTACAATATCTTCCAAGAGGATTTTATATGTTTTTTAAATATTTAAGATATTTTTCATCTTTTCAAAAGATTCATATCATTTTCATGATATCAAAATCTTTCCTCATCTAAGATGATCAAGTAAGTCTATATTTAACTAAATTAAGCTTAATCTCAATACACCCTCATAAGCTTAATTTTTCTTTCATCCATCGTATCAAGAAGTGACTTGAACTTGATAAATAGGTAAACTCCAATGGTTTATATGATAAATTTGTTATCATATAAATTTGTATTGTTTTTTGTTTGATATGCATCTTTTCTAACAAACTTCTTAATCATATAGTATGACAAACATACGAACATGTCATATTATATTCGGCTTCACAAGTTGATAATATCATAATTAATTATTTTTTGAATATATAAGTGATTGTAATATTTCTCATATATAACATAAATCGGAATATATTCCTTCTATCATCAAGGTCTCCTCCCCAATCATTATCTAAAAATCAAAAAAGTTTAAAATTATTAAAACTTGAATAGAAAGAGATTTAAGCTTCCAAGAGATGTAACACAAATGTTTTTAGCAACCTTCCAATGTGTTGATTTTGGCTCATCCATCCATGAGTTGGAGCCATCAAATGAGCCAACAATCCATCAGTTACAATATCAATTTATGTTTTCACATGCATCATTATGCTAATAATTAATTATAATAATTGACTACAATGCATTATGCCTAAGTTTTTTAGATCAAATTAATAGTACAAAATCAGACAATAGAATGCTTTTAATGTTGTTTTCTTGCCTTTTAAAATATTCTTTTTTTAATAATAATAAAATAATGGAATAGTAAAAATGCATGGCTCTTTCAGCCACTATCAACCCTAAGAATAGTCTCCCTTTCTTATATACACACCATCGATCTCATAGCTTCTCATTCTCATTTCCGCGGCTGGTGACCAAACCCACTGTGTACGTCACGAAAGAGAACACCAAATGCAGAAGCCATCTTATATATTTACGCATCAAAATTCGTGCTCTTCATGAAATTTACCCTAATGTGTTGCACCTGCTAACATTCGTCCTTCTGTTCACTGCTTTGGTGACTTTGTTCACCAAGACACTAATTTCCTGGCTGCCTCTACCCACTAAATCCACCATATATACCCTAAGCTCGATCACTGCCTCATAGTGTTCTCAGAATGGGCTCAACACCGCGTCATATCTCTGCGTTCCTCTCCATCCTGCTAATCCTCCTCATGCTTCTGTGTCCATCTCTTGCAGAAGACCCCGCCTTCGAGCTCGGCAACGAGACCACCACGCACCTGCACTTCTTCTTCCACGACATCGTGACCGGCCCCAATCCCACCGCCGTGCGCATCGCTCAAGCCTCCGTCACCAACAATTCCCCGGCGGCCTTCGGCGCCCTGGTGATGATGGACGACCTCCTGACGGAGGGGCCGGACTCGGGGTCGAAGCTGCTGGGGCGGGCGCAGGGTGTGTACGGGCTCGCGTCGCGGGACGAGCCCGGGCACCTGCTGGTAGCCATGACCCTGGCCTTCGTCGACGGGGAGTACAACGGCAGCACGCTCGCGGTGCTCGGTCGCAACTCCGTGTTGTCGGCGGTGAGAGAGATGCCGGTCGTCGGGGGGAGCGGCAGGTTCCGGCTGGCCCGCGGCTACGCCCTCGCCAAGACCCACGAGCTCGACGTGGCCACCGGCAACGCAGTGGTGGAGTACGACGTCTATGTCATGCACCATT